TAATTGCAATCTTATCTTCTATATCTGAAATTCTGTCTTCACATTGGCTCATTCTGCTGCATAGACTTTCAGTGGAGTTTTTAATCTCCTGGAAATCTGTTCGCATCTGTTTCATGGATTCCATTTGTTTCCTATGTTGGGACTGCATCATGTTCTGCAGTTCCTCTATTTTTCAATCTGTGTCCTCTCTAGATTTTTTTAATCATACCTTGCACTATGGGCACAGTCTCTGCTGATTTCACCTTTTGCAGATCATCTTTCGTTGCTAGTTCAGGGTGTCCAAGTGGTTGAGTATCAGAGGGTTCCATCTTGTTTCCCTTTGGGGTTGCTTTAGGTGATCTGGAAGTCTGGTTCTGAGGCTTGTTTATGTGTCTTCTCATTTCGACTGGGGTGGGGGTGGGGGTTCTGCTGGCACCCACACAGCTCACCTCTGTGCTGGGAGCTGTGGCATGCTGACCTGGAAGCCTCCTCTGTGGTGGGAGCTGTGGCACGCCTACCCAGAAGCCTCCTTTACACTGGGAGCTGTGGCACACTAACCTGGAAGCCTCCTCCACACTGGGAGCCACAGCACATTGACCCAGAAGCCTCCTCTGCGCTGAGCTGTGCACTTCTGAACATGGGTCCCTCTCTAGTGTGTAGTTAGTCACAAAGAAATACCCCTAAAGTCATGATGAGAGCCAGGTGTGATGGTGCATGCCTGTAATCCCAGCACTGGGGAAGCTCAGGCAGGAGGTCACTGTGAGTTCAGGCCATCCTGGGCTACATAGTGAGTTCAAAGCCATCCTAGTTTATCTAGTGAGTTCAAGACAGTCTGAACTACATGGCGGGGGGCGGGGGGGAGTCACGATGCTTCTTGCATAAGTATTAATTTTAAAAAAGTCACAATGCTTCTTGCATAAGTATTATCCACATTGTGATTATCACCTATTTTTTTATTCTGATTCTCAAATGGAAACAATTGTAAAAAGCATTCTAGAGTACTGAATTTTTAAGATATATATTTTGTTAAGCATCCTCTAAATGAGACATTGAGTGGCTTTTTGAATAACAGGCTGTATCTTATTGCTAAAAAAAAGTCACAAGTGTAAAAAAGTTTCAATTGACAAAAATATGGTTTAGACTTAGTGTCAGCTTTCTAATATTAAAATAAATACCTAAGATAATCAACTTATAAAGAGAAAGGTTCCAGTCCATGATTGGTTTACTCTGTTACTTTCATGTCTGTGGCTAGGCAATACATCATGGTGGGAGCACACAGTAGGGCAAAGTTGCTTCCATCATGGCCAGGGAATAACAGGAAAGGATTGGGGTCCTACTACCCTCTTCAAGGGTATGCCCCCAACAACCCCAAAACCTCCAAATGGCCTCCACCTTTAAGTTTTTTTTACCACTTCCTAATAACACCAAGCTGAGAAGCAAGCCTTTAACACATAGGTCTTTGGTGGACAAACTATAACAATTTCTATGGAATCTTACTGAGGGCGGGAGGAACCCTAGAAAAACAGTATGGGCAAAGTTTCAACACTTCCCACTTTAGAGGGAAAGAAGCTGGCCCACACTGGAAAGCTTCAGCAAGCAATACACTGTGCACTAGAGTCCCCAAAAGAGGAGTAACAGAGGTAGCCTGATTCATTACACAAATAATAATTGACCGGGAAGTGCAGGGACTCTAATAAACACTTATTAGTAGAGTGACTCAACAAATGTTTGGAAAATCTTTTATGGGGTTCAATGTTTAACAACTATCCATCTGGATACAACAGGGTGTTTGGCATTCATACTCTCAAACTCTTCAGGGAAATTAAACACTGTTCTCATTAGTTCCAACACTGATAGAAACCCTAGGAGTTTTAGTTGAGATTTGATTCTAAGCTCTCATACTTCCATTCCAGTTAAAAGATGCCCGAGTTTCTCAAGATCAGTTTGAGTTTCCAGAATCTGTTTCATGGCAAGGAAAACTCTAGGTCTGGAATAAGTCCTAGTTTTGGTCACTCTGACCAGTACAAGAGAAGGGTGGCCTAGATAAGAACAATAATAAAGTTCTCAGAAATAATAGGAGAGTCACTGTAAGACTGTTATCTGAACAAACTACAACAAAGCAACCTTCTGGTTTGTACTAGAAATCATCTGGTTGTTTATAGAGGATATATTTGTGAGAGCTTCGGTACTAATGATTAAGGGTGAGCCCAGAGTTGTATGTCTTTCACATTTCATTTTTTTATTTTTTTGGTACCAGGGATTGAACTCAGGTCCTTGAGTTTACGACGCAGGTGGCAGAACCACTGAGCTAAATCCCCGGCCCTCACATTTCATTTTTAAGCCAAACTCCATATATATACAAGTGTGTATATATATATATATGTGTGTGTGTGTATATATGTGTGTGTGTGTGTGTGTGTGTGTGTATGTATGTATTTTTAGTAATCTTTTCTTATCCCTGTAACAAAGTTTTAGAAATCTTTTCTTCCAAATCCCATGGATATGACATTGTAAGTCTGTGCAGCTTCTCACTGGTTAAGTCAGGACTTTGCCAATGAGGCTTCTCACTTGGGAACTACAACTGTCATACTCCTGTTTTCCTAAGTTTCTTCCCAGATGTCACCTCTTAGCTCAGGAAGAGCAACCACTTTCCTCTTTTCAGCAGTCCAGACAAATTTGCTTTTGTCTTATGCCTTGATGTTTTCTGAGGCATGACTCATAGAAGGCATAACAGAGGCAGTTACCAAACCACCTTTGGAATCTGTACTGAGGAATAAAAGGCATGACCTACCCTCTCCCTAGACCAAATCTTGATGAAAATGCCTGCATATGACATATTGGGGCACAGGGAGACAAAGCACCTAGCCTTGTGAGCTCCTAAGTGTTTCCACGGGTACTGAATCCGTTCAGTCAAGCATCCAGGGGAAGCTAGATCTCTTCTGAGAGCTAAAGTCCAGGTGGAATGAAAAGGGAAAACGTCCTAAGCTCAAGAAGTGTAGGGCCAGGGATTTAGCTCAGTAGCACTGTGCCTGCCTCGAAAGTATAAGGTTCTGACTTTGATCCTGGTACCGAAGGTGGGGGGGGGGGTCATCTCCAACTGCCCTCGTTTAAGCTCTCTATTAGGATAGGCCAGAAATACACAGCACCAATATCTCCATGATTTAACATGTTTATTTCTCATTCCCATAAGTTCATTACAGGTCTGCGGACTCTGGAACAGCTGCCCTTCATGTGGGGACTTGGCATCCCCAATTGCTTGATCTTTTTTTTGGTACCAGGGATCAAACTCGAGTCCTTGCACTTGCAAGGCAGGCAGAGGAACCACTGAGCTAAATCCCCAGCCCCTCAATTGCTTGCTCTTATGGCTACTCTGTAGGTTTCCATGATTGAGGCAGGAAAGGAAAGCACTGGAGTCTTGCACTAGTGAATAAATCCTTTAGCCCAGAAGTAGGCTTCTGCTTACAACCCCCTAACAAAAACTATCTCATGACCAAGCCTTACTGAAAATAGCAAGAAAAAAAAAACTATTCTCCTTTTTACCTCTTTTCTCCTATTCATTAGAATACAAATTCTGGGGCTGGGGATTTAGCTCAGTGGTTCCGCTGCCTGCTTCCTCCTTCACAAGCACAAGGACCCAAGTTCGATCCCCAGTACCAAAAAAAAGAATACAAATTCTGTTAAAGAATGTGTTTTTGTTTCTCTCATTTGCTGTGGCTTCAGACTCTAGTACAGTGGCTGGAACACACTAGACCCTCAAATTAATTTAATGAATATAGTGTCTGGAAGAAATCCACATATGCCCTAGGAGATAGAATCCCAAGGTCTAAGGCTGAGAATCTGCTGTATGTACCAGCACTGGCTGGGCTTTAAAAAATAGTACTTTGTATAGTTTATTAAATAAAATTGCTTAGAGCTTCAGACCATTAGTTTAGGTGGTTCTTATGACAAATAACAAAGTATCAAAACCAAGGATCAAATCAACTCAGCATAACCACCACCACAAGCACTCAACTCTGGACTGGAGCTGTAATAGCCATACACACATTTACTTTTTTATTGTAGTCAGCCCACCCAACTTATCATTGGCAAGCAAAGGAAAGGGAAAGAAGAGATACAGACTGTGTCTCTACTAGGGACCAAACCCTGTTTTAAGTGCTTTACTTTCATCAGCCCATCAAATTCCCAGAATAAAACTTAATTAAATGTTATCTCTATTTTATAGAGAAAACGAAGACTTTCAGGAAAAATGGAGTATTTCAGGAACCAAACAAGAAACAGGAATATTTTAAAGCTAGAATTAGATATAACACAATCTTATTCAGGCTCGTTATGTAGGGATAACAGCAAATTGGTCTTACTACTCCTGCCTTCATACCTGACAGATACAACTAAGTGATATCTAACAGATCCTCTAGTAATGGGTAATGGGGTCTTGGGATGTCTATGTAACTCTCTGAGCCTCACTTCATTTATAAATGACTTGGAAGAAATAATTTCTTTAACCTCTTTCCTAGTATACCTAAAATTCCCAACTGTAAAATACCTGAGTCACTGTTGTAGCTAAACAGCTGAATTATAAGAAAATCTATACGCTATAGACTATCTGCAATCTTAACAAATTTATCACCTGAGACTGCTGTAAATACTGTCCTGGATAGGACAGACAAACAGACCCAAAATATCAGCTTTCATTTTAAAACAAAACAACACAGATTTTGATTTGCCTATCCTTGCTTAGTAATGACTATCAGTTCCCAAACTTTTCCTTTTGGGAATTCAATTTCCTGATTAGATGCTCAATATCTATGTTAAGTAACCAACAGAATCCTGCCTGCAGCATACACATTCCAGTTTTCATACAAATATAATTCTCATTCTTTTTTTTTTTTTTTTTTTGGTACCAGGAATCGAACTCGGGTCCTTGTGCTTGCGTAGCAGACGGCGAAACCACTGAGCTAAATCCCTGGCCCATACTTCTCATTCTTAATGACAAACAAAAGTGAAATTAAAAAGTAAACAAAAACTGCGGGAAGTTAATACTAAAAACCCGTAAGTTTTTTTTTCTTTTGGTACCAGGAATCAAACTCGGGTCCTTGTACCCATAAGTTTTCTTTCATGCCTTGGGTAAGTGCTAATATTTATGGTGCTGTAGCCTATTGACATTTGAGGTAAGAAAAACAGTCTAGTTTCTTTTAATGCAGAAAATTCTTTATATCTAATATATACCATGGCTACAAATCCAACCCGTTTCCGTATGATCTCATTAGAGATGTTCTGCATTTCCCAAACATCACCAATGAGACATAAAATAGTGCATTATTAGTTCATTTGGCAGATTGCCTAGTGGTGAAATAAATTATTTCATCACAGTAAAAATTATGTTGCTAAAAAGTTCAAGAAGGAACTCAAATGACGTCCAACTTTGTGAATAGTGTCCAAAGACAAAAGTAAGACAGAAACTCCAATTTAGCCACTGGAAAACTTTCTAGGAGAACTCATCTCTGTCCAACAAAGACTACTGAAATTGGTATGCCTGCTACTCTGAAGATAATAGTTTGCAATTAAACATAGATACATATTGTTTTTTGTCTTGGAAGACTATGCTATAAATATTTCTATCATGTACATTCCAGAGTGGGAAAATCCGTGCAAAAGCAACAATATTTACTTCTGATACCACAGAAGACTGATTGGGTGCACCAGCAATTTGAAATTGAAATTACTATTTTTCCAAGTACAATCCTAAAACAGCCTTTCCCTTATTCAGAATGTTCCTAGAACAGTGATGTCAAACCTTTTAGAGCTTTCAATGATAACAAATTGTCTACTGCGGCACATGTGCCATAGTTTTGCCACCACTATCTTATAACATCTTTCTTCCTAAGACCTCCCTGACAGCTAAAAGTAAAAACAGAAAGTAGTACAACATACCCCTAACATACAACCTTGATTCCTTTTCGTGAAACAATACATTTATACCCCTAAATTTTCCAATGACAAAAAACTCTTCGGGCCACGGATTTAGCTCAGTGTCACTGTGCCTGCCTCACAAGTGCAAGGTCCTGAGTTTGATCCCTGGTACAAAAAACAAAAACAAAAACAAAAAACTCTTCATGCTTTTATATGTTTTCATCAACTTCACTATAAAACTCTTGTTGAATTTCTTCATAATGAGGACAGCAGACATGCTTTCCTTCATTGGTGGATTTTCTGGTGTCTAAGAAGGCTTGATCGCCTGCTGAAGTTTCTCTTGCATACACCACAGCTATAAGGCTGCTCACCTGTGTGGGTTCTTCGGTGTTTAATAAGGTGAGAGTTCTGACTGAATTTTTTCCCACATTCATGACATGTAAAGGGTTTCTCTCCTGTGTGAGTTCTTTGATGTGTATGAAGATTTGTATTTTGACTGAAGCTTTTCCCACACCATGAACATTTATATGGTTTTATTCCTTGGTGCGTTGTTAAGTGCTTATTAAGATCTGAACTCCACCTAAACCTCTTATCACACTGTGGACACTTATATGGCTTTTCTTCGGTGTGAATTCTTTGGTGCTTAATAAGGTCAGAGCTAACTTTAAAGCTTTTCCCACATTCCTGACACTTAAAAGGCTTCTCCCCTTTACGGTCTTTCTTGTGAAGATCCATAAGTTTCAGCAACTCTTGTTTCCATGTTGAAAATTTCTTTCTTTTCTTCACTGGAAAATCTCTGTGCCATTTCCCAACTCTGTGCATATCATGATTTTCTTTGCCTGCTGTTTGCTGAGACACATTCACTTTGGCCTTTTTTGATACTATGACTCTTGGTGTGTGTATTTCTAAGGCAGAAAGGGATACAGACTGATGATTTTCAGTGTCTTTTCTTAGCTTAAACTCTGTTGGGGTAAAGATAAGAATCAGCTATATGTATCCCAGAACAACAAAATCACAGGAATGCAAAGAAAAATTCAATGATGATTAATTTTAAAAAACAGAGGAAGGCAGATGTGATAACAAACACATGTAATCCCAGCTACTTGAGGCTGAGGTGAAAGGATCACAGATTTGAGGCCAGCCTGGGCAACTTAGCATGACCTTGTCTCAAAATAAAAAGTAAAATGGCTAGGGAAGTAACTCAGAGGTACAGCACTTGCCTAGCATGGGCAAAGCCCTGGGTTTAGTCCTAAGTGACAGACATATACACATATAACACCACTAACAACAACTACCACCACCAGAGGAACAGAATGTTAAAATGTAAGTCCTTGTAAAAGTTTGCATCAAGGCACATGTCTCCTCTTCCTACAGTGTATTTACCTGTAGGCGACTCTCTGGGACTGTCTTTGAAATCCAAGGACCCTTGAACCCATGGCTCTTCCCCTTGTTCTAAACAGGAGATCACTTTAGGTTTGGGGAGTCCAAACAGTGCTGTGAAATAGAAAAAATTAGATCAAGGATTAAGCAGTCCTATTAATTTCAGACTATTCAGGAATAAAAGATACTTTTACGGTTTGTTACCCAAATGATGAAATGAACAGATTCCCAGATCCAAAGTATCATATTTTTACTATACTGAATACATGGGTGAACATGCAAAGCAGATAATCTCCAAGGTGGATCAATGAAAATGATATAGGGCATGTCAACTCAGTGCACATTTCCCCTCTTCTGCCACTAAGAATACTCCATGTTTAACCAAGGGAGAAAATCAAGTTGCAGAGGTTAAGAAAGATAGGGTGGTCAATAACTCCTAAGAGGACTTATCCAGAATAAGACTAGGTAGAGTGGAGTGAGTGTCAAGGACAATAGGTGGGGGTATCATATGCACAAATGATTGCTGTCATAATTATAGTTGCTTACTTAGCTTCTATTTATTTAGCACTAAGCCCTGGATTAGGACAGATTTCTATCCCTCTTAAAACTCAATTTCATATCCAAATAGAGGAATCCAGGAAGAGGGGGACCCTTTCTGAATAGACTGTCCAGTATTGCAAGTATCTATTACTCATTCTTTCAGTAAAAATTTTTTGGGGCCATGGATATAATTCAGTAGTAGATCGCATGCTTAGCAAGCAAGAGGTCCTGGGTTCAATCCTCAACACCATAAATAAATAAATAAATAAATAAATAAATAAATAAATGTTTACTGAGTGGTTAGGATGTACTACGTACTGCTCTATGGGTTGGGGATATAGGGTAAAGAAGTCAGAGTTCCCTGATTTCATGAAGTTTATATTCTATTAACATAGTCAATTTGTCAACAAACAAAATAATTGCAGGAAATTATGTTTTGAAGAAAACTAAAGATAGTAAAAATAACTCTAAGATTCTAATCCTGAAAGCCTATTTTAGATAAGGCTATGTGGAAGCTTTTTTTGAGAAAGCAGTATTTGAGCAGAAACCTAAAAATGAGAGTTTTTATTATGTGGCAGGAAAGAGTACCAGGCAGAAGAAAAGGAAAGCAAAGTGAGCAGAGCAATGTCAAGAAACAGCAAGAAAACCAATATGGCTATGGAGGGGTGAGCAGGGGCACAATAAAAGCAGGAGATAAGGCCAGATCGAGGAGAGTCATGAGAAGTCTGAATTTTATTCTGAATTTAAGAAATTACTGCAAGGAAGTGATTTTGAACCAAGGAAACACTATAATCTGATGAGGTTTTTCTTTTAAAGTTCTGGTTGCTCGCTCAATGCTAAGACTGAGAGGACAAGAATAAGAGGCAGGGTGTCAGAAAGCTATCTGGTTCAAGATGATGTTGGCTTAGACTACAATGTTAACAGTTCACAAGGCTGAGTCAAAGCTAGACTCAAGATATAACGAGGAAGTGGAGCTAAAAAAAGTTGCTTATAGGTTACTAATGGGATATGAAAGTAAGATTAAAAGGATGCCTATACATTTTCTGCCCTGAACAACTGGGTAATGGTGGTACCTTTACTGAGGAAAGACAGAGAAGAGCAGATTTGGGAGAGTAGGGAACGGATGAGGAATTCCATGTAGGCTAAGAAATAAGTACTGACATTTGGAAAAAATCCTCCCCAGGTGATCTGGATATCCATTTCCCTTTCCCTATATTAGTGAGCTAAGAGCCAATCAGTTACAGAAAGCATGTGGCTCATACGATTTCATTTTCAGTAAACCAAGAATGCAATGTATGACTCAACCTCTACACAAAGGGAGGAAAGCTATCCATGGCAGTGCACACCTATAATACCATCACTCTGGAGGCTGATGCAAGAGGATCACCATGAGTTCAAGGCCAACTTGGGCTACATAGTGAGTTCAAGGCCAGCCTGAACTACATAGCGAGACCCTCTAAAAAACAAAACAAAAAACCCCGAAAACAAAACCAAAGGGAGAATCTTTACCTACAGAGATGACATTCTCATAGTTTTCCTGCATTACATCATTGTAGAGAGCCTTCTGAGTGGTATCCAGTAATTCCCATTCTTCCTGGGAAAAATACATGGCCACTTCTTCAAATGTCAACAAACTCTGAAGAAGAGAATAGACTTAGTTCAGTACTTGCCACTAGAGAGACAGCTTAATCATTTGCTAAGAACTATAGGATAGGCCAGGCAGTAAAAGAACTTTGTTTGTTTGTTCGCATGTTTTCACATGTCTCTGAGCTCCCTTTAGGTAGTATGACTCATGGGCAGTGGGAAAAGACAGCTCTAAACGGCTGGAAAGTACAGCTTACCTGGGACTCAGGCAAGATGAGCTCAGGTGTCACTGTCCAATCTTTGTTAGTTGTCTGCTCAGGAAAGGATAGAATCTGTTGAGCAGGTTCACCTGTGGGTGGAAAAGAGCCAGAGGAAACTGCTCATTTCTATCAACATCCTGGGCTCATTTCTAAAATTTCTAAAATAGCTCAGTGGTTCTACCCCTTTCCCCGCAAGGTCCCGAGTTTGATCCCTGGTACCAAAAAAATAAATAAATAAAATACAGATCCTGATTCAGTCAGTAGAGATGGGGTACCTTTACAAGTGTGTTGTGTGTCATGTCAGAGTGATTTTTTTCATAAAAAGAACCAAGTTCTTACCAGCCCTTAGTACCAGTTCCCCAGTTGACTGTTTCCTTAGTTGTCATGAGAAGTAAAATCCCTTGTTTTCCTCTGATAATATAAACTGTTCTGAGTCACGCAAAAATTGAAATTATTTTTTCCTGCCACTAATAGCCCAGTTTTTTGTAACAGTTCATTCCTGACCCCAATGCTTCTTCATGAGGGAGAGCGCAAGATCCTGAGCTCGAAGTTGTCCCAAAACTTCCTTTCTTTTCCTTCTCTCAACTTGTCTAAGGAACAGAGTTCATGGTGCTATTACCAATGTTCTGTGGTCTGGGTGTTTCTACACCATAGGCCAACCCCCACCTTCACTTATAGTTGATGCAATCTATTACTGCCTGAGGAGACATCATAACTGCTATCAGGGCTGCTTTTACAAATCCAGAGCTGGGTACACTGAAAATGCCCATGACATTTTTGCTAAACAAATCATAGTTGCAGTTCCCAGAAGGAAATTACCATGAAGCTCCTTACCCATTTTATATACAGGTTCAGTTTCCTTATGCGCACTCTTGTTCAGCTCTTCTTGTTGTCCCTGGTATGTATTCCAAAATTCTTTATCCTGGGACATGCCCTCTGATTGAGACTCTGCTGGATTAAGCTTGAAACCTGGGGCCTCTGGTCTTTCTTCCAAGAGCAATGCTTCCTTTCCCAGCTCATGGACTGTAACCTAGAAATAATCCCCATCCTTGTTACCACAGACCTTACTTTGGTTGAGGGGTGTAGGCAGGAGGAAGAACAAGTATATATCCCAAACTGTAGGAAGTATGAGACCAAAAAAAGAAAAAAGGACTTAAAGGGATATTGGGCCCTGTGCTCTCTTTTTCAGGGTGGTCTGCTCTCAGAGCGTACTTTTTTTCCTACCTTTTGATGACCCAAACTCACTCTGCAGAGCATGTTTCTTTTCCTACTTTTAATAAATGTAAAACCTCGCTACCATTAAAAAACAAAGGAAGAAAGAGATATCGGATCATTGATATCCACAAAGAACTACCCACAAATCTGGGAAAATTCAGATAAAATTTAAAAAAACAAAACCCTGCTATACCCCCAATACAACCAGCCCCATCCGTCTTCATAGAGTTCAACCAGGCCACTAGCAGTGTTGGGCAAAAGTCACCTACTGAATTACATTGCTTTGTGCGACTTTTTCTCGATTTAAATCCTTAGTGGTTTTCTATTAAAAAAAAAAAAATTAAGATACGTAATAAAAATTCTCCTGTCAGCCAGATTTTCCTATGGTCAGGAAAGGTTTTCACAGAGAATGGAAACAGAACAAACAAAAGGAACAGTGGTTCCAACCTACCTCCAAATAATTTTGACATCAAACATATGTCCTGCCCTGTATTCTTCGCGGTAGGCCTGAGCCCAGCAGGTGCTTGACACTTGCCCAAGAGCATACCCTAGCTCCCCACTCATCAGCAAAGCCAAAGACCAACCACCAAGATAGCAGAGAAGGATCATCTACTGCAGGCAGGACACTACCTTTCAGTGTTGTCTCACAGCTACTCTTAGGATTTTCCTTCTTTTCAAATCTGTTTCCATTTTTCCTTATCCCTTAGTCTTTCCCTAGTTAACTTCTCTTTCTTGCTCTCCTTTGGTCTCTAAGTTTTCTCCCTATTTTGGATTCCTACTCCCCCATTAATTTTACAGTGGACCCTCAAGTTACAACCGGCTTGCCATACGAATAACTTGGGTTAATTAGGTTAATGGAAGATTCATCTGCCTCTTGTTATCTATAGTGGGTTCCCAGGTAAACATGCAAAACCCAGCTGTATTCTTACAGCCAACTTGTTACAACTTGCCCTCAGGAACTGATGGAGTTCTTAAGTCAAGGGTCTGCTGTTATTTCTAAGAATTACGGTTCTGTCTCCTTACTCAAGATATCATTTCATTATGGTTCCAAAGAAAGCAAAATTCAACTTTTTCTCTGAAGCAAGAGAAGTCTCTGCCATGATATCTGGAATTGGTACACTGACTTTCCTTGTGTGCTTAAGGTTTCAAATCCCACCTTAACTGTCTTAAAGGAACAGAAATGACCTAATTCATCATTTCTCAAATAACTGCTCCCACCCCTATTATATCCACCTTCACCCTATTTCACTGAGGAATCTTTCTCTCACCCTATTCCTTGTTTGACCAGATTCTTTCTGCAAGTGTTCTACCAATGCCACAGCCTCCTCGATGCTTTGTGGATGGAGCTTCTGCATCTGGGTCTGTGTCTCCCTTGGCAGGATGGTCAGGAATTGTTCTAATACCAGAAGTTCCAAGATCTGCTCTTTTGAGTGGATCTCAGGTCTCAGCCACAGACGGCATAATTCCTGAAGTTGGCTAACAGCCTCACGGGGTCCAGCTGCTTTGTGATAATGGTAGTTATGGAAGTACCAGCAAGAGCTCTTGGGATCAAGACTGTCTGTGTGTGGAGATTTTGTACTTTGACTAGAGCCTTCTGGCACAGATTCCTTAGTCTCCCATAGAGCCCTGATCTGAGGGTCCAAATGCTCAGCCACCTTCAGATCGACCATCATCATTCTGCTCTAGCAACAGTTTTGCTCCTGGTGCCACCTTTGACAACTGAGACTCCAACTGGTCTGGTACAAAATAAAAGTATCTTCTTCCTAAGGGCAAGGTAGGAAAAAAGTTCATGTCAGCAAGAAATTTACATGAACCTACTACCTATTATTCATTATGAGCAAAAACTGAACAGAAAAAGTCTTGTCTTGCTTTGCCTTTAAAATCAACTGCCAGGCCTTTTTAAAAAATAGTACTCAAAGTTCAACACAGCTCAGAGAAAACAAAAGTCAACTGATGACTCTGCTTTTTTTTTTTAGCAACTCAGGAAAGGTTAGTAGTTGGGAAACTGGTACCTACTATAGCTGAAAGGAGTTTTGAGAATAACCAGACTTAATTTGTGTGCTTCCTATCCTATTTCTTCCATAAGGGAAGAATACAAGGAAATAAGACTAGGAGAACATTGTGAGTTTCTCTTAAATTTTAAGAGGTTACCGTTCTTTAAGAAGGGGTACAACTCTGCCTGTCTCCAAAGCACAACGTACAGAGTTCAATCCCTGATTGAAAAAAAAGGGCACGGGATTTAGCTCAGTGGCACTGAGCCTGTCTCACAAGCACAAGGTCCTGAATTCGATCCCCAGTACCAAAAAAAAAAAAAAAAGGGTACAACTTCTATAAGGCTTCATTTACTTGTGAAGATAGAACCTTCTCTTCATGGAACATTTGATACTCTCCTTTCTCCTCTATGAAAAATGGCAGGAGAGCTGAGATGGTGAAACCAAAGTAGAAGGTAAATAATTAGGGAGAAAGTAGCCATGTTTTTCTCAAAAACCATCTCCTTACTAAGCAACTAGGGCTCATATTCTATGCAGATTTACACAAATTTTTTAATTTGTTTACCTGATCTAGAAAAAAATTCACAGCTTGTTTTTGTTTACATAAGGCCAAGTTTTATTTTTTTAAATGAAAGAGTGGGAAGTTTGGTGCTTTGGGTTTTGTTCCACCCTCCCACACCCCCCAACCCCACCCCAGCTGGGGATCAAAGGGCCTTTAACTCCCTCGGCAAACACTCCACTGCTGGGCTGCACACCCTGAGCGAAAGATGGTTAAAGTGATCTTTCTGCCTATTTTATATTTCTTCAAGGGTCTCTTAGACCTGTAATTGAGGCTAAGTAGAGCTTCGTGAGCCTCAGGGAACTGAGGTGAACTAAAATCTGCCCAAGATGACACGGATGTTTTTTAAAATGGTAGGATCCTTGTTGCCCTTTCTGCTCTGGAGGCACAGGAACTCTTTCTGTTTTTGCATCAATCTGTATTTCCTTTGTGTACGTGGTGCTGGACCCAGGCCTCACACGCCTGGCAAGCGTTCTACCACTGGGCTTCATTCCTACCCCAGAAGCTGCACCGATCCCTCCTGTCATGGCAACACTGGTCAGAGACGGAAAAAGTCAGTGAAGGCGGCAAGTTTCTCTGGATGCAGCGGTAAACGCTGCTGCAAGCCTCACGGTGGACATGGGACAGGCGAGCAGGGTCTGAGCGAGCGTCCGTCGTGGCCACGGGCTGAACTTTCGCAAATAGTACAGAGAATGGCTTCTGGAGCTAGATGAAGGCCTCGCTCCGGCCGGTCAAGCTTCAGACTTGGGAGAAAAACGCCTTTGTCTACGGAACAGGACTGCTTCCCGTGACCCGCCCGCCTCGCAGCGGCCACCTAAGAGAAGCAGCTTCTTGGTTACCTCAGACAGCTCGACTCCCACAAAGGCCGCTTCCTGTTTTCCCCGGCTCAACTGGGAGCCGCTGCCAGACCGGACGCCGATCTAACGAGCGCAGCTCTGAGCCCGCGCCAGTCTGAGCCGGGCCAGCGAGCGGAGCCCGAGGGTTGGTGGCACAAGGCCTAGAACCACCCCTCCACGGTCCGCCTCCATGAGACACCCACCTGCCGCTATTTCATCGCAGCCTGGGGCCAGCGAGAGTAGAGGAAGCGGAACGGGAAGCGGAAGTGATGAGTCCGGAGTCTTCGCGCGGCCCCGCCCCGCGCTCTGGTTGAGGAGCCAATGCGACTGCGTCACAGCCTTGCTTTCCCTTCCGGATGGGAACAGCCACCAGGTTAAGAGGCAGGAAAGAGTTAACACTACCGAGTCTGCGGGCTAGCCAGAGTATAGGAGGGCCCGGCACCGGGCGCAGCGCTTGGCGTCGCGGTCTCACGTCTCCTTCGTGTCTGCATCGCCCTGCCCGGGCCCTGCCCCCTGCCCCCTGCAATCTCTACGCCGTGTGCCTATTCTCGCAGTGCTCCAGGTGACTTAGTGAGGCTCATCGCAGCCTTCTCAAGAAAGAGGAGGCCGTTTTGTGCCTGGCAGGCCACTGCTAGATCAGAAAGGACGACCTCTGAGATTTTTGTGCGCTTTCTGGTTCGCGTGGTGCTTTCCTCACAATTTGTGTTTCCTGTGAGGTAGGTTTTAACTTGTGAAAGAGGTTCCATTTGTATTTCTCGACACAGAAATCGAACCCTGGGAAATGACTGGATCAGGGTCACACAAGTTACCAGTGGCACCTGCCAAACTGGAATGTAGGGCTCCTGTTATGGTTGCTGAAGATACCTGAGTGAGGAAGGCATTTCATAAATATATACAGATACTGAATCATATATATATATATATATATATATATATATATATATATATATATGATTCTTAGCGTTTTGGGTTGTTGGTGACCTCCAAATGTTCTTAATATCAGACCATCCCAATCCAGGGAATATTCGTTAAATGTATTTTGTGCTTTTGTCCTCAAGTAATCTAAGACTGAAGCAATTTGATAACACAAGGTAGTAAAAAGTAGGAGATAAACTGAATCCTATGAGAATCCCAAGGAAATAAAAATTGATTTGGGTTGAAGAAATTATAAAGGTTCTTGACAGATTTTACCCACAGCAGGGTGTGGAGACACATGCCAGGCAGAAGGAAGAACAAGAGCATAGATTTGAAAGCTGGAAAGATGCAATGTAAGATCAGTAGTATATTTTTACTCATTTGGGCTACATTGAAAGAGCTTAACAGGTTAAAAAAAATCAGCTTGCCTGGACATTATCCTGGAGAAGACTGCATTTAAGAAAGTAACTCTGGGAGCACCATTTGAGGGTTCTGGGGGGAACTTCTTTCTAGGGCAGTTCTTAGGTAAGTTTAAGGTAAAAATGATAAGCCATTATACTACTTTTTTTTTGTACCAGGGATTGAACTGTGGACCTTGCCCTTGCAAAGCAGGCAGCAGGGCCTTATACCACTTTTGCTTTGGGATAGAAAGGTATTATGTTTCTCTTAGGCATAGATCTTGATCCTTTTTAAGTGAGAATAAATAGACAATGAGAATTTGAATCTGTATCAAAGAAGGTTCATTTCCTTAGAATCTTGGTCAGGTTGGTACTTAATGTTTTTAAGTGAGTATTGTTCCCAGTCTCTCAGAACAGTAATGCCTCTATCTTGAGATGCTCATCACCTGCTCTGTGCTGAGCTTATATATACTTAGAATTTATTAAATTGAATAAATGAATATCTTTCAGCAGTGCCAAGGTGCCCTTAGATGTCATTAGCAGGCTTGAATATAACACAGGGAGGAAGTTGTTCAAAGAGAGAAGAAAAGAAAGAGACCCTGTGGAAAGAAGAGGAAGCAAATCACAAATGATGAGTAGTGTGAGAGCCACTGATGATTTTTACTGTATGAAGTTTGGTGCCACAGTTCTTACCCTTTCTGTGGAGCCCACTAAAGTTGCCCAAGTCTTTCTTTTAGATTTCATCTCTCCCTGCTTGGGCACTATTTTAGAAATGATGAACATACAGCTATGAAACAATGAAAGCACATATACTGAGTTAATTCTGAGACACCCACAGAACTACCATAGAAGACTAAATGCTTTTGCTGGGTGAGTAACTAGAGTTAATGGTGCTGCTACTGGCAATAAGTGCTGTTTTTTCTTTTTCCATTTATAATAGTTACTACTTAGTAATTAACTTAGATATACCTGCCTCTTTGAGAAAGTTTCTTAGCCTATCACTGGCTCCACAGCCTACATACTGTATTACATTCTTTCATGATACTTTAGTGCTCCATAACTCAGTGCTTTGGCTGCATTTCTAGATGAGAGACTTGAGAGAATTCTATATATTATAGTTGGGGAATGAATGGGGCAGTCAGGCTCTGACCTACAGGAGAAGAATAACTGAGATACCAATCATTTTCCTCTTTCCTCTGACATATTTCTCTTTCTTCATAGCGCCTGGAATGGATAAAAGTGCCAGTTGTTTCTTCTCATGAAATTGTGTATCTGAAATGAAAACCATGAAATTAATCTAGAACAGTACATTTCTAAAGACCTGGAATGGCTCTGGGCAGCACCAAGGACCTGAAGGAAATATTTGAGGGTGCAAAACTACAGAAGAGTTTGCCAGCAAAAAGACTTAATGGGAAACAATTGAACAGAAACATGAGTAAAATAAATGAAGTTTTGAATTTTTTCAGGCAGTTCAGTCTTGGTTCAAATTAAGAAAAATCTACACTGAAGAGAAATCAAAGTCTCAAGTATGAAAGTACGTTATTTAGCATCTTGCTGTAAACTTAGGAAAATAAATGAAAGGACATATCTTTTTAACTGTGTTAAAATATTTGTAAAACTTTGAGGCTTATCTCTAAGGAACTGCCATGATTCTAAAATGTGATAATATCCCAAATATAGAATAGTAATAGTATCAGTGAAAGATAACCCTTGAGAATTTGTCAGATACACAAAAGGGAAAAGATATGAGAGTGGAAAAGTGCTACTAATAAATTATTTACATATTTACAGATTACTTTGGCAACATAAGAGACACTCAAGTTTAAAGCTCAGTCTTTAAGAATGCCATATTGGGGCTGGGGATTTAGCTCAGTGGTTTCGCCGCCTGCTGCGCAAGCGCAAGGACCCGAGTTCGATCCCTGGTACCAAAAAAAAAGAATGCCATATTGAATGCAATAAAAGTTGGATTTCATTCCTATGTGCAGCAGAACCTATTAATTCTCTTTCACCTTCACCTAAAGATTCTATACAACTGTTTCCAAGTTCCAGTTTTCCAGCTATTCTAGTGTCCAAGTCCTTGAGACTTAAGAGTCTATTCAAGTAGATGAATTGTCCCCAGTGAATGGTACATATTGAACAACAGGAGCACTATTTTCTTTTCTGGCAATGAGTTAAAAGCAAGTTATTTGGAAGGGGAGAAGCCACACTGAATTTCTGCTATACAGGGTTACTCTGTTACAGCTTTTGAGTTTTTCCACACTCCCTTTTCGCTAGCATCACTTTTTAAAAAATTCCACCTGGGTCTGTTCTTTTGGTCATTGGAGCAGCTATATTTGTCCATGGAAAAAAAGCAGTTGAGTTCTGAAAACTGATTTGCAATAGCAACATCCAGGCAGGACTTTGGCAGCAACAGCTGAGAACATAGGTTCTTTACCTCTAGACTAGCACTTCAATCATGAACTCATCCTTTTCAGTCCATTACCCTCCACTAAAAATGCCTGTGCCTTCTGGGGCTTTGCAGTAGCTTTTTATTAATTATTTTCCAATTCAGTAAGGCTTTTCTCTTTCTTTTTTTCTTGTTGGTTATTTGAAATCAAATTCAGTGTGAATAAGAGAGGGAAATATACAACACTGAATTTGGAGGAGAAAATGAAGGTTCTAAGTAGGATTGAACCTGGACGATCTCTTAAAAGTGTAATGGATGAATTTGGAATCAGTAAATCAACATTTTACGACATTAAAAAGAATAAGAAATTGGGCCGGGGATTTAGCTCAGTGGTTTCGCCACCTGATGCGCAAGTGCAAGGACCCGAGTTCGATCCCCAGTACCAAAAAAAAAAAAAAAAAAAAGGGAAAAAAGAATAAGAAATTGATTTTGGACTTTGTACTGAAGCAGGACATGCCATTAATAGGGGCTGAGAAGAGAAAGCGGACAACAGGAGCCAAATATGGAGATGTGGATGATGCAGTCTACATGCGGTACCAACAGAAACAGTCAGCTGGTATCTTTGTTAGAGGTGTGGAGCTTCAGGTTGCTGCAGAGAGATTTGCACAGTGTTTTGGGCAAACATACTTCAAAGCTAGCACTGGTTGGCTTTTTAGATTTCGAAATAGGCATGCAATTGGGAACCAAAAAGTATGTGTAGAAAAAGTCCTAAGTTCAGCTTCAAAAAACGTTGAACCATTTAGACAAAAACTGTCTATGATAATCAAAGAGGAAAAACTGCATCTAGCTCAGCTATACAGTGGGGATGAGACTGACCTCTTTTGGAAGTCAGTGCCTATAAACACTCAGGCAAAGAGAAAAGATATCTGCCTGCCAGGGAGGAAAATAAACAAAGAACAGTTATCTGCCCTTTTATGTGCAAATGCAGATGGAACTCATAAAATCAGTAATTATCAGCAAATTAAAGCTTCCAAAAAGTGTGAAAGAGGATACAAGTATGTTACCTGTGATATATAAACCTAGTAAAGACATTTGGTTCACCAGAGAATTGTTTTCAGAATGGTTCTTTCAAAACTTTGTTCCTGAGGTCCGGCATTTTCAACTTAATGTTCTAAGATTCCATGAAGAGGATGTCAGGGCATTATTACTTCTGGACAGTTCCCCAGCTCACCCTTCTGCTGAATCACTAAGTAATGAGGATGGTTGAATAAAATACATGTTCTTTCCTCATAACACTTCAACTTTGATTCAGCCAATGAATCAAGGTGTGATTTTGAGCTGCAAACGACTTTATGTTTAAACAACTTGAAGAGAGTCATAATTTTTGAAGAAAATGATGATGAACGAGATAAAGGAGAAAAAGGAGTTTCCAAGATTAAAATCTACAATATAAAAATTATAATTTTTAACTGGGGAAAAAGTTGGGATGAAGTAAAACAACAATAGCAAATGCATGGGAAAATCTTTTCAAAAAGGAACCTGATTATGATCTTCAATGCTTAGAAGATAGAGATTATAAAGAAATGGTTAAACAGAAATGATGAAGAAGAGGGTTGTCCCCCCAAATAATAGATGAGATTAGGAGCCAGGGATTTAGCTTAGTGGTTTCGCCACCTGCTGCGCAAGGGCAAAGACGGGAGTTCAATCCCCGGTACCAAAAAAAACCCCCAAAACAGGTGAGATTACAAAGGAAGTTGTCCAAAAAGGAAGAAGAGCTGACAAGCAGACTGCTGAATTTAAATTAGATGCTGTGAGAAAGAGTTTGGACTATCTTCTTGACTTTGTGGAAGCCACACCTGAGTTTCAAAGGTTCCATTTCACATTGAAAGAGATGCAACAATAGTCAACAAACAGTTCTAAAGTAGAATCCACTCAAGAATTGATAGTTTTTTGAAATCTAGGCCTCATAATATTAAAGATACCTTAAATATGCCTTCAACTTCTGGTTCTAGTAATTAGATTTTTTTTTTTTTGTACCGGGGATCAAACTTGGGTCCTTGCACTTGAGCGGCAGATGCCGGAATCAGTGAGCTAAATCCCCAGCCCCTCTAGTAAATTAGATTTTGTGTTTAAAGATTTCTGCAGTTATATGATATAGGAGGTAGGCCTACTGTGAGTTTTCATTGTTCTTACTGATATTTTGTACATTTTGATGATAAAATATAGTTTTAAAATAATAAATTTGTTTAAATGTATGAATACATCAGCTCATTTTTTTTTCTACTTAAGACAAAAGATCTGAATAATGAGGGTATAAGACAAGATTTGAATATTGAGGGATTATTGTCCCAGATACCAGATATCTAAGGTGGAATGACTGTAAGAAAAGAATGTTTAAATTCTACTGTGTAGTTCAGGAGTAGAGCACATGCTTAGCATGCATGGGAACCTAGATTGCATCCACAGCACACATCCATGCATACACACGCCCCTAATGTATTCACAGCATGAAAGAAGTTACGTGCTGATTAATTCTAGTTACCTTTAAGGAGAAAAGGATTTGATTTCCTTTTTGTGTGTATGGAGTGGGAACTGGGGATTGATTGAACCCGGGACTTTGCAATGAGCTACATGCCCAGCTCTTTTTAATTTTTTTTGAGACAGAATCTTGTTAGTTTGCCCAGGTTGGGCTTGAATTTACAATCTTCCTGCCTCAGCCTCCCAGAGTGGTGGGCTACAGGCATCCACCATGCCCAGATTTTTAGTTTTCAATTTAATGTTGTTAGACATTTTGGTTTGTTAATTGTTACTGCCTACTTAGTGCATGTTATCCTCTTGTCATGGAAGTAACATATGCTAATTATTGAAGATTATATAAAAACTCAATCCAATTGATTGATGATATAATCTCAGCCCTGTGATATATATATTTTTTAATTGGAAAATTGTGAATAAAATTTTAGACTTTGTATCTTAATGTACTGGGCCGGGGATTTAGCTCAGTGGTTCCGGTGCCTGCCTTGCAAGGGCAAGGTCCCAAGTTTGATCCCCGGTACCAAAAAAAAACCCACCAAAAACCACATACCTTAATGTACTTCATGCTTTGATATTAATAAGTCAATATCTGTTGAGTATATAGGATTGTACGTGTTTATCCTCATAACCTGGGGCCTTATGAATATAAGACAAACACTGCACCACTGAACCACACCACCAGGTAGTCTCCTTTTTAAATGTCTAAGGAAACAGGTTTACAGAGGTTAGGTGACTCGACACCATCACATAAACTAGTGAACAACATGAGATTTAAATTTAACACCAAAGTTCAGGGTTTTAACTACTATACTGTTTCTGAGAATTTCCCCAAAATGTCTAAAAAATCTTGTCACAAACCTCAAATTTGATTGCTTTGTAATTAATACTCTACCATGCAATATATTAGTTGAGTGAATCATTTCTCCTACTAAACAAGTATTTGCTCCTATTTTCAAAATAAATAATGTAAACATTTTTTGCAGGTAAGTTCAAACTACTACCTTCGAGATTATTAGAAATTAAACTTCTAGGTGGACAGTAGCACATGCCTATAGTCTGGCTACTTGGGTTTGGGGCCAGCTAGGCAACATAGCAGGACCTATCTCTTAAAAATTCAAAAACTAAACTACCAAGTCATAAAGTATAAACTTGAAAAACTTTTGATACACATTGTTAAACTGTTTTCACATTAAAACCCAGAGTTCGAAAGTACTTCTCCCAGTGCACTAATCCTAGCACTGAATACTGTTAGTCTATTTGGTTTTGCTAATTTTATAACCAAAAAATGGTATTTTTATGGCTTTTCATTTTAGTATAACATGTCAGGTGAACATTTAATTTGGTATTTGCAAATAAACTTTGATAGGAAAATTATTAGCTATTAATGTTCACTTTCTCATATAGTAAATTCTAGGATTTGTTTCTGAGAATTACATTGTTTCATTGGTCAATGCCAGGCAACTATAATATAAAAATACTGATAGTGTTGGTGTCTCCTCTTACACTAGTACCTTACATTTTAATTACTGGTTTTTTTGGGGGGTTTTTTGGTACCAGGGATCGAATTCTGGTCCTTGCGCTTTCGAGGCAGGTGGCAGAACCACTGAGCTAAATCCCTGGCCCCTTAATTCTGGTTTTAATACAAAGCAACTGCCCACTTACTCTCCATCCTCAGAAATGTACAAGCTGTTCTTACCTGTTTTTCTAAATCAGCATCCAAAATTAATCAAGCTTTCCCCAGATGCACATCAATTCCTTCTGGAAATTTATTAATAATTTTTTTGGGGTACTGGGGATTGAACACTCAGGACCTTGTGCTTGGGAGACAGGGACGGTGCCACTGAGCCAAATCCTTGGCCCTGATAATTTAAGTAAAAATAATTTGGTAAAATTTTACTTTTTTTCATTTGAGTTGTAAATGTACTTTCCTAATAATCATTTTTTTATTATTAGGTAGTTTTGTTCTTACCGTGAGATTGTTTTTATTAGTTATTATTGATAGTCTACCTTGAAAATTCAGTAGTTAGGGCTTTTATGTCTTAGTTTTATGACCTAGAATTTACAGAAAAAAAGTTAACATTTCCACTAGGTACTGTTTTTACATTCAATTTAGATCTGGTATGTGCTTCCTTGGTTCAGTCTGCAGTCTACTGGAAGCTGGGAGATCTGTAACATTCAACAGCTTGACTTTTTTTCTTTTAAATGTTTGTCCAGAATGACAGGGTAGTAATTATCTCTGAGCAGCTTTTTTCCTGCTCAGACTTTTCAAGCCAGAGGTAGAATGTGGAACAAGTTGAGGACACTGGTCAGCTCTAGTTCCTTCTAATTGGGGTCTTTGCATTATCATCTTTATACTTTTTCAATAGTTATGAGTTCCCAGGATGGATTATGGAGAATCAGTCACACTCATTTTCAGAAATAACTATATTCAGGGCTGGGGATTCAGCTCAGTGATTCTGCCGCCTCCTCGCAAGCGGAAGGTCCTGAGTTCGATAAGCTGTCTTAAGAGATTCAGACCCAAATAGTAAAAGAATAGAAACAGGGCCAGGGATTTAGCTCAGTGGTTTTGCCACCTACTGCACAAGCACAAGGACCTGAGTTCAATCCCCAGTACCAAAAAAAGAATAGAAACACCACCAGTGGATGCCTTGGGGCCAACACTAAAGTATACAGACTGACGATTTGAGGATTCTTGGGTAGCAGGACAAGTATCCAAAGGATTATTTGTGACCTCAACTGGGCTTTAAGATTTGGGGAGCATACATGCATGCTCTTGTGTGTATACATACCTTTCCCCAGGGGAAGCTGATAGGTTCTGTGGATGGTTGCCTTTGGGGTGTCTGGCAGAGAAGAGCAACAGACAGGTCAAGGCCAGATCATCAGTAACTCTGGTGGAACCTATGATTTTAGAATTGGCCTGGGCTGACAATATCCTAAAGTCTCTACCCCCTACATATCCTTCCTCATCTCCTGACATGAACTGGCTCTATCACCCTTGGTTGATGACTATACATGCCTGCAGTCTTGCCTTCCACTTGTCCCCTTCTCCAGTCCCTCCTGCTTAGGGCCCTTGTGGGATTCCTGCCAATTAAACACAATGGCAACAGTGTCAGTTTCTTCAGGTATGCCCTACTCTGGCTCTGGGGTCACTAGTCTCCCATGGAATGTGAGGAACAGGAGGGACATTTTTTGTTTTGTTTTGTTTTTTTGGTACCGGGATTGAACTTGCGTCCTTGCACTTGCGAGGCAGGCAGCCGAACCACTGAGCTAAATCCCCGGCCCTAGGAGGGACATTTTGAGGAATGCAGTTGTGACTCTGGTTTCCTTCTCCCTGCTGGAGTGGAGCCTGAAGAACCCTGCAACTGTGTGGTCACCCCAGGAGCTGGCAGCTGCCTGCAAACAGGCACCCAAGGCTCTGGTCGGGTGCAAGGAGGCCTCTATCAGCTATCCCAAGGGGTGGAGGGAAGGAGGGAGCCAAAACAGCACAGCAGCAGTCCTTCAGGACCCTAGTCCCTAGGCACAAGCTACAAGGAAACTGGCTGGCTTGTTTCAGCCATGCCTGAGAAAGGGCTGAAGTCTACTTCTAGAAGTCATTCCTGGAGCTGCTCTGAGAAACCTGGGCAACCCAATCTCCTGGTTACTGAGGCAGGCTACCTAAACTTAAACCCAGCCAGGAAGCTTCATCTTGGGAGAAAAACTGATATCCATGTTCTAGGAAGGGGCCTTCCTGCGTAGAGGGAAAGTAGGAACTGAGAACAGAGTTCCCTATCATATCCAAAACATACCCCTGGATTACAGAGAGATACTTCAGTTGTTCATTCTCCACCCTTTCTACCTGGAGAAATAACTAGCCTAGTCTCTCCATGGAGCGAGTTTGCATAGTGTGAGCCACCAGATTTCTGATTAAATGTTTTGAAGCATGCCAGGTATGTCCTAGTGATAAATTAATAAGAATTAACATTAGTGGTTTTGCCGCCTGCTGCGCAAGCGCAAGGACCCGAGTTCGATCCCCAGTACCAAAAAAAAAAAGATAATTAACATTAACGCACTTATCTGAATATTTTTCTGGTCTGAATACTTTCTATATAAGTGTCACATATGCTCTTGTATGTAAAGTATTTTGTGTGACATCATCTCATACAAGGGTGAGAACAGCCATGCATGTGAAATTTGCTAGAAGCATGGAGCTACATTGGGGATTGGGCCAAGGGTCCCCCTGGAAAGCCTTTTTAGTCCCTAGAGAAAATACCTGGGGGGCATCCTCATTGTTCTACCTTCAGATTCCACGCGGGGCAACACCAGCTGGACCACATGACAAGATCTGCATGGGTAGTGACGTTAGACAGGAGCTGTGATAAGATTAACTGGATAAACTGCTTCACATTTCCTCCAATTCATGGCATCAACAGCCACATCAGGCCTCCTCTGTTCCTGCTTCGCAATCCCTATACTACTACTGTTCTCTTGTGAACAAGGTGAATAAGAAAAAGGAAGAAATGAGAAATAGATTTTAAAAAATTGGCTCAGAAAAAAATCACACTAAACTGAGGCAGGAGATAAAGATAAAAAAGAAAACAGGACATAGGATTGTTTCCATCACTTAAAATTTGCTAATGGATAGTTCCATTATCTTCTCTCAAAGAACAGCCAGATACCTTCTTCCAGGGCCATATCCTGAGATGGCATCAGATTTCCACTCCTAGTGTATCTCCTAGAAGCTCTACTTCCTTCTCATAGATACAAAAAAAACCCTGTTCTGACTCCTTATTCTAAAATATAATTCTTTCCCCTAATAATTTTGCCTTCCCCTTTATCTCCCCACCATTAATGATCAATGACTGTTATATGAAGACCATCTTAGCTTCTTTTCTGCAAACCAGGTACAAGACCAAAATATCGTTTTTGAAAAGCCTGATCTGCCTCAGCTACCTCATAAGAATGTAAACTTTCTAAACAAAGAAATAAAAAACAGTTTTACTGCTGTACAACACAGTAGGAAAGAACAACTTTCAGAGACTTTATGACATCACTTCAGGCAATCATTCAGCTTGACTCTTGATTAACATGTACGAGGTCTAGCCTAGAGCCCATCAAACCCACAAACCACCTCAGCCTACCTGCGACCACCTTTGTCAACTTTCTTGACCAACCCAGAAGTCCACAAAGAGCAGTTATTCTGAGACACAGACAAATCAACACAGGGGATTAAGAAAAAGATCCATATACTTTGTTTCTTGAAGATATTTATTACCATCCAAACATTTTCAACATGGACAGACATAATCCCTAATTTCCCTAGGATCCACATTTTCAGTGTTTTCTAAGGAATCCATCTTTCATGGAACCCTCCACCTGGGAACAAGACTTAGCTCTGTGTATTTTTTTTGGATACTGAAGAAAGCCGCAATCTGTCCAAAGGGTAAACTAATCACATACTGATGTCAACTGCCAATTTCTAGACTCACCTTCAAGTTCCTCCTAAAATTTCTCTTAGCTCTCCATTTCCTTTTTGTCTGAGGTCACACATCATGTGGTTTGCCAATGGGCACTCCTGCCAGACCACTGAGGGTTGTTATAGTGGCTAACCCGGATGCCCATGGATTCCCAGCCAGAGAGAGGCAACTTAGAATCAGTCTTATTGACCTCCAGGGTGGTTTCTCAGGAAATCTGGCCCCTTTTTTTGGTCTCAAGAGCCCTAGGAGCCTAAATGCTCTTGTAGTCCCAAGTGAGGAAAGAGTAAAAGATCATGTAAATTTCCAAATTTGTTGGGATAAACATTACACAGTAAGGCACCCAAACTACATGTTGGTTAAATGTACCAAGAAAGTGGATATACCTTGAGACAAGATGAAGTAAATAAGTGTCCCTGGGCAGGTCACCTCAAACCTTACTACTGCAAACTGGACTCTTTAGTTTTACAACAATCCTTTGCTGCTTTGCTGCATTACCCTCAAAATGAATCCTATTTCCTCTTGGAAAACAAAGAGGTCAGATGGGCAAGGAATGCCAGCTCTTTACAACCCTCTATATGCCACCTAATCTGGAGCAAAGAGAAATCCCATTATTTTTAACCGGTGTGAGTTCTCTGATGACTCACAAGGCGGGAACTCCGAGAGAAGCTTTCTCCACATTCAGAACATTTATACGGTCTCTCTCCAGTATGGGTTCTGAGGTGACGAATCCGATTAGAGCTGTGAGAGAAACTGTCTCCACACTCATGACAAGTATATGGTTTTTCTCCTGTGTGAATTCTCTGGTGCCTGATTAAGTTAGATCTATGAGAGAAGTTTTCTCCACAAAGGGTACATTTATACGGCTTCTCTCCTGTGTGTGTTCTCTGATGTCTGGTGAGGTGCATGCCTTGCCGGAAGCTTTTCCCACAAGTCAAACATTCAAAGAGTTTCTTTTCTGCTCTGTGAGTTCCTTGGTTTGTAAGAAAGGGGGTACCATCACTCATGGCCTCCCCATTGTCAGAGAAGGGATCATGTCTCTCTCTCTCATGGGTTCTTTCATGAATGACAAGGTGAGAACTCCGAGAGAAACTTTTCCCACACTCAGCACATTTATAGGGCCTCTCTCCTGTGTGGATCCTCTGGTGCCGAAGAAGATTGGAGCTGTGAGCAAAGATCTCCCCACACTCAGAGCACTTGTAGGGCTTCTCCCCAGTGTGTGTCCTCTGGTGCCTATGGAGGTTGGAGTTGCAAGAGAAGCTTTTTCCACAAACATTGCACTGATAGGGCTTCTCACCTGTGTGGGTGCGCTGATGGCGAGTCAGATGGGTATTTTGACTGAAGCATTTCCCACATTCTAGGCATTTATGGGCCTCCTCTCCCATATGTGCTCTATGTAGTGAGAGAAAATGTGGATGTCCACTAAAGATTTCACTGCACTCCACACCCATACACAGCCTTTCTGCTGCATGTATTCTCTGATGCCTAATTAGGTTTGAGTTGTTAGAGAAATTTTTGCCACACAAGGGACATAAATGGAGTTTTTTTGTCAGCAGTTCCTTTGGTGGCCCCAGTTCTCTGCAACTTGTGGCTCCTGCTAAGGACTGCTCCATTCCATCCTCTGGAGGAGGTTCCCAATGCCCTTCTGCCCTGTCATGAGGACATCCCTGCTCAGGACTCCAGGGTACCTCCCCTCTGGCCTGGCCAGGGAGCAGCATCTGAGGGTGAGTGTTCTCAGGGGAAACAGACTGGATATTTCCTTCTTGGTTCTCAAATTTTTCTCCTGGTAGAGAAAAAAAACAAACATCTACATTATTTCTACACTGGAAGAGATGATAACCCCATAAGCCTGCTATGCCAATCAGGTCAGAGGCCCCCAAAGGGCTAGCTCTACCTCAGCTTCCTATTCTCTTCCTAGGTATAAAACACCCCGAAGAGGCATCTGAACAAAGGGTAGGTCTACTGCTCAAGGAATCAAGAGCCCAGGAGGTGGGTGTGGTGGTTCAACCTTCCAACTTGGGAGGCTGAGGTAGGAGGATAGCTGAAGTTTCAGGCCAGCCTGTACTACAGTACATAGTGAGACACTGCCAGAAATTTTTAAAAAAAGAAGAAAGAAAAAAGAAAGAAAGAAAGAAAGAAAGAAAGAAAAGGAAAGGAAAGAAAACAGGAGAGAAAAAGAAAGAAAAGGCTCAGAGAAGTGTGGGATTCCTTTCTTGGCCTCAACAAACCTCTCAAATGAGGCCCCTGGCTGATGCCCTTCAGGAATGGATGAGATGTAACAGGGCTGAGACCAGGACAGGCCAAGTGAGCCCAAGAGTGAGCACTTCCTCAAAGTTTGCATCCTGGGTTGCTCAGTTGCCTCTCTGGGATGAAGTGTTCAATGGAGATACAAGAAGCAGTGTGCCACCACAGGTACACTGGCCCTACACTCAAATCCTTAAAAGCCTTGTGCTTAATATGGGACACCTTGCTGAGCAGCTACTTATCTTCATTCCTTACCTGGAGCTGGGCTTCTGGGGCTCATGGCCTCCTTACAACTCTGGACACTGGGATCCCATGGCTTCCCTCCTTGTTCCACCTGGGTGGTTAGGAGCTCCTGACTGGGAATGTGAGGCTCTGCTCACAATGAAAGAAACAGATTGCTGTATTAACGCTCTCCTCTACCAGGCAGAAGAAACAAAGATGGTCTTGATTCCCTACCCTTAGCAGATAAGACACAGAATGCTCTGATAAGTCTGGCAACAACTATTGGGAATATGTATTAAACTATTCCCAGTGGTTACCTCTAGAAAACAAAATTGGAGGAGGGAGACTATTGGTTGGGGTTTAAAAAAAAAATTTTCAAAATATTTAGTATTTTTTTTGCAATAAGAATGAATACTTTTGTACTTAAAACAAGAAGCATATGATTAGAATTGTCAGTTCCTTGATGAATTAGTTTAATATAATAAAAGAGCCTTGACTCTTACATACAAATATAAAATAGAGCTAAATTTGACTACTAACTCTAGAGCGAGGAAACATCAATGGACAATTAGAAAAGGACCTTGGAATCTTCAAGGACCTCGAGCTTAAATCTCAAATATGCCATTTCTATGCTATGCTAGAAAGAAAAAAACCTCACTCTACCTCCAGCAGAGATGCAAACATACATTCAGTTCTAACAAACTGTAGTCTGATCTTTTCCTCCTAGTTAGCACTCGCATTGTTCAACTTTGCACAACTCAACAGCGGAAAAGCAATGGAAAACCTAGAGTGGTCCCAATAAAGGAAAACAAAAATAACAGTAACCCTTTTATAGAATGAGTTCATAGCTGTGATTCTCTTTACACAAACCTGATGGATGAAAACAAAGTGGTGTGATTTTCTATTGCTGTTTGTTAACATAGCTAATCATAATGTACACAGTCTTAAGACTTCCCATTTTTTTTTTTTGGTACTGGGGATCGAACTTGGGACCTTGCACTTTCGAGGCAGGCACCGGAACCACTGAGCTAAATCCCCAGCCCCCCCATTTAAAAAATGATATTTTTCATATATACAAGGGTACTATATAATAAATACCTATATACGCTCCACCTAAATCCAGTATTAGTCATATTTCATAGGCACCATTTTTAATCTCCGCACAGACATATCATAATTTACACATTAGTCAGCCTATTTTGGGTATATACATTGTTTCCAAATAGGCACATAATCTATATTTCCAAATATGCTCCCTCAATTTCTATAGTATATGAGAATAAAATGGTATGTTAATGCCAATTGCTCCTGAAATTTTTGTCTTTGAGAAAGAGCCTAGAAATACTATTGGAGCACAGGAAACAAGAATAAGCCTCTCACAATTGCAAGGAATTAAGAACTTAGAGGTACTCCTCAGCATCCTGGAACACTGAATATGTATAGACCAGGTGGGTCACTGGATTTGATTTGTGCTGTCCTTGGAAATCCATTATGGTTCTGACAGCTGGGGTCCAATAGAGGGCTGCCTGTAAGTATGTCAACGTGCCACTTGGCAGATGTTTAACTGACCCTAGTATGGGAATTTTATGTAGGAGGCTTGACAAAACTCAAGTCTGGGAGGTAAATATCCAAGAGACAGAATCCTTGTCATAAATACTGCAATCATCAACTCTAGAAAAGAAGTCTTACCCAGTGAGTCCACATTCTCATAACTCTCTTGGATCGTGTCCCTGGAGAGGGTTCTTTTACTGGGATCCTGATGCCCCCACTCCTCCTGGGAGATGTACATTGCCACATCCTCTAAACTCTCAGGTAACTGAAATAGCAAAAAATGTCCTTTAGCCCCAGATGCACCAAGAACAATTCAAGCAGAGTCGCAGGAGAAAGAAGCAAAAGCCCAGGGGTACCAAGGACATATATCTTGGGAAGAAATGAACCCAGGCCTACATATGATGGATGGAGACCAATGGGGGGGGGCATTAGGTTGGGGGAAAGGATCCTCCAAGTGGCAGAAATGCCCCAGCCCATCCCAAAAGGAAGACTCAAGGGGAGGAAGGAGTGTGCTGGCAGGGGGAGATAATGGGTGGGACCTTCCACATCACCTGGGACCCAGTCATCTCCTTGTCTTCCATATTCCCTTCAGGAGGAAAGAGAGAAAGCCAGGGAGCAGATAACGCTGAAGGTGACAGAAATCATAATGAGAATGGCATTCCCAAATCTTGGTAACCAATAAATTATTATAACACAGTATACATTCCCCCAAAACCCCGTTTCTGCTTTTAAGATTGATACTAAACCAAAACCAGTAACAGGCAGAATAAAGTAATATCCAAAATGATGGGGTCAGAGTAAAGGAATGAGAGCAGTCTTCCACGGGGGTTAGTAGCACTCCAAATCCCTCATCATTCATCTAGCTCTAAATCTTCTTTTCGGCATACTAACAGATTTCTTCTACTAAGAGTTTCTCCTCCTTCCTTGCATCCCTTAGCAGAACCCACACCACTTGTAGGTCTTTCAGGCCACATCTGAGAACTTCAGCTTGAGGAATATCTTTTCTTTGGCAGAGGTGCTGTATCCTGCTTAGGTCAGGGCAACCCGAAAGCCCCTCCTCCCTCCCACCTGCCCAGATAACTGTTCCTCACCCCTGTCCTTTACAGCCTGGGGGTCCCTTTGGGGGCTGGGGCCTAGCAGCTCCTGCAGCCTGGGGCCAGGGCTTCGCTCAGTCTCCACGGGCTCCAGCTTGAAGCTCGGTGACTCTCCTGCTGTTTCCAGAGGCAAAGGCTCCTCCAAAAGCACTTCTGTTCCCCGCCCTTGGTTTGTGACCTGAGGACCAACCCACATCACTCATCATCACAATGGGGCCAACAGAAAGGGAAATTAGTATAGGATTCTAAGGGGAAGCCTTCCACAGAGAACCACAAAAGATCCTTTTGAGCAAGAGAAAGATGGTTTACACTAAAGGATTTTTTGGTCCTGTCTGCTGTCAGTTAAAATGGGGGAGAATGGGTAAGGAGGAAAAGGGTGGGTCCACTCCCATGCACACACCTTCCCCCACACACTCTTTTAATCCACCTTACTTTTGTTGTCCCTCATCTTTTGCAGATGCTTCTATTCCTCACTACTGAATAAATTAAACTTTGGTGCCCCAAGAGGGCCAGTGACCGTAGAGCCTCAGTGCCAAATTGTTTTTCAAAATTTAACCGAGATCTAGCTCCGCAGATGAGACCACACTGTTGACCTTAACATAACAAGAACAGGTATCAAGCATAATTAAAAACCAGTCGAATTATCAAAGCTTTACATGCTGTTCTTCTTCTAATCCTCAAAATAGCCCCAGAAAGTATTTTATCATCCTCGTTGTACCAGTGGGAAAACTGAGGCCCAAAGAGAACAAATAACTTGTCCAAAGTCAAGAAGCTAGTAAGCAGTGGTGTAATCATTTGAACTCTGGCGACTTAACTCCAGGGTTAACAATAACTATCGCTGGGCCGGGACTTTAGCTCAGTGGTTTCGCCGCCTGCTGCGCAAGCGCAAGGACCCGAGTTCGATCCCCGGTAACAAAAAAAACCCCAACAACACACAAAACAAAAAAACCCAGTAACTATCGCTGAAGCACTGCCTCTATGTGGAAACGGGGCACTCAGTATTCAATGCTCACTACTTAATATGGGGAAAATCTGGAGTGCGAATATTCCACATTAAACCATTAAAAAGCCCTCTTCCACATGTAAGGTCTACTCAATGCAACCAAGTCAATTCTACTGGAGAACTTGGCCAGCGTGATGTCCCAAACCTCCGGACCACACAGCGACAACATAGCTCTTTCTCTCGCCCACCTGTTGCCTCAGCCTCCCAAGCTCTCTCTGCATATCCTCCACAAGGGTCACTGCTTCTTCGCCGCTCTCCGGATGCAATTCCTGCACCCTGCTCTGGATCTCTTGGGGCAGGATCGTCAAGAACTGCTCCAGCACCAGCAGCTCCAGGATCTGCTCTTTGGTGCGCATCTCAGGCCGTAGCCACCCATGGCAAAGCTCCTGGAGCCGGCAAAGGGCCTCCCGGGGGCCAGCGGCCTCTTGGAAGCGGAACCTTCTGAAGCGCAGATGGGAGGCCTCGGGGCTGGGCCCAGGGTCAGGCGGGGGCAGCTCCTGGCTCCAGGCGCAGTCCTCCTCCAGTTTCACTATGAGGAGCCCTTCCCGTTCCTGAGATCCCGGGAACGACGCCATCGCCGTACCCTAGAGTGCCTTGGCCCGGAAAGCAGCGGCGCCCGGGACCTGTGCAAGGTTGGGCGGCTTCAGCAGAAGCCAAGTGGTCCAGAGTTCCAAATCCTGGCGGAAGACCCCAGCTCAGAGGCTTGGCTTCAGTCAGCCCCCACTGCCGCCGGTTACCTCCGGGTATGGGACCCACGCAAGACTCGGCTCTCAACTTCCACGCCGGAAGTTTTAGCGCACGGGTTAGGCGTCACGATCCAACGGCGCCTGCGCGAGACTGACTTCCGGGTCATGTTTCGCGTACTCTCGTGCCCATTGGGTCAGGTCTCGCCACAGAGTCACCTCCGACGGACAAAAAGGAAGTTTTCCTGCGGAGGCGGGATAACGCACAAGCCAATTGGGGCCGAAAGGCTGGGGTTCGGGGGGAATCCTGCGACCTCCTGGGGGATGGGGCACCTGTGTGGAAAAGGCAGAGGAAGGAGCAGGTATAGACTGGTGTACGACCTGAGTCAGATTTCCCCAGAAAAGTTAGTCAAAATGAGCCGCGCTTGATCCATAGTCAAGCTTCGTCAGAGTGACGGAGCGGGGACCCAAAACTCTGAATTGTTAACAAGCTCTCCCGAAAAATTCTTTCCCGAAGCAGTCTTTAGCCGCTTGGGAAACTCGGGTCAGGCAAGGGAGGGTCGTACCACCTCAGCAGCTTTAAGAGGGGAGACTGCCGGGTGTTGTAGTGATGGCACGACCCGGGTACTGCGCCTGCGCTAGTGCTGCTCGCAATGGATTCCAACCGCTAATTTAGGATCCCTGAGCCCAGCCGACTGACCCTGAGCGGCCCGGAGGCGAGAGAGCAACAATTTGTCCGCGTCTCGGGCCGCTTCGGCGGCTGGACGTAGCAGAGGAGCAGCCGGCCGACTGGCGCCTCCGGCTTCCAATTGCAGACTGGATTTTAAGCCTGCCCAGTACGTGCGGTGGTGTCCACGGGTCTCCAGGAGCAGTCTTCCGCTCAGCCCTGTGAGAAACCGACTGTCCATTGTGAATTACATCGCCAGGGCGAAGGGAAACCTGGAGAGCCGGCTCTTGTGCTAGGCTTAGCTTCTCCATTCTCTCCACCAGGGTCAGTGGCTAAGTAGAAGCTTCAAAGGATTGTAAGTCGTGCCAAACAGTAACCGTTTATTGACCACATGCTTATGTGCGGTTGGATTCTCACAGGACAAAATTGATGTACATATAAAGGCACCGATGTCAGTTAAATCACTTGTCACCCAGCTGCCTTGTGCCACGTAGCACACAGGCACATATAGGTCCATTTCGGGAAAACCTTGTTCAGACTTATGACTTGAATCTCCTAAAATCATTTTTATATTTTTAGATATTCCTGTTTCCAGCGACTATAAATTATAACCTTGACAACACTTCTCTGGCATTTATTCTGTGATCTCATCCAATTTAATCAATTTATTAAAAATGTATTTCCCCTAAGCCCTTTTCTGTTCTAAGGGAGTAATATTCTACCCACCTCAAAATAATGGTTGAATGGCTGGGGATTTAGCTCAATGGCTCTGGCGCCTGCCTCGAAAGCACAAGATCCCGAGTTCGATCCCTTGTACCAAAAACTAAAAAATAATAATAATGGGGTGAAGGTTAAGTGAACTAAGAGATGTACAAGATGCATAGAACATTTGTACCAGTAAATATCAGTGTTTTGTTTTGAAACCAGGTTCTGCAAAATTGCCCAGGCTGGCCTCCTACTTGGAATCTTCCTGTTTCAGCCACCTGAGTAGCTGGGATTACAGGCATCCACCAGGTGCCTGACTTTACTAGGTGCTAATAATGCACAGCAAGTTCCTGAACACTTACCTAGCTGACACACACACACAAAGTTATACGAGAGGCCCAGGGTTCAATCCTCAGCACAAATAATTAAAAAGCCACTTGGAAGTTTATTGCAGAATTTGTGGTGTGGGGATGTTTGAGAAATACACATACCTTGAGATGGGAAGAATGAGGTATTAATCATTTGTTATCTAAGGTCCTTTTGATTTTAGGGTATTCACAGATACTTACAGGTGAATGAACTTTCCAGGTATATCAGTCAATGCTTCCTAGAGAAACAGGTTTAATGCTAGATATACAAATATACAAGAATTTACAAGGGCCAGGGATTTAGTTCAGTGGTTTTGCCTCCTGCTGTGCAAGCGCAAGGACCTGAGTTCAATCCCTGGTACCAAAAAAAAAGAAAAAGAAAAAAAGAATTTACAAGATTGGCCTACAATGGCTGCCCAAAGTGTCAGGTGTGGAAGAGTTCAAAAGGGCTGTCTGTGGACTAGAGATCCAAAGGATCCAGTCAAAGTCCTGGACCTCACTATAGTGTCCCATGCAAATCTGTATCAGGAGGCCAGAGGGTCTGCGATGGAAGGCTGAAGTATTTGTGCTGGAAGCCAGGAGACAGCGTCCAAGGTGAAGGTGAAGACTGGAGCTCTTCTGAAGAAACAGAAGCAAGCCTTCCTTCTTCATTTCCCTTTTATTCCATTCAGGTGACGACCCTATTGGTTGGTGCCACTTGCACCCAGGGTGGGTCTTCTATCTTTCCCAAATCCCTTCAGACACACTCAGAACTATGCTGATCCAATTTAGTTGGGTGTTTCTTACTTAAGTTGACAATCAGTTAACTATCACACCAGGTTATTTAAAATTACAGAAAATATTCCATTTCTTTGTATCCTATCTATATGCAGAAGGAAGAATAACTGGAATTTGGGAATAGGATTATAGGCCAGCAGTTTTATCTTATCAGGGTTCACTTGGGAGGTTTTTTAACCTGAGATCAATAAAATTCAAGAGTAGTACTGTCCAATAGAACTTTCTGAGATGGGAGCTATTAGGCACTAAGAGTTGTTAGGTGTACAAAGTGTCTACCATGTAAGTGGCACGTTTAGATGGTCCATGGGTGGATTAGGTGATTTTTAAAATATTTTGACATTGTATGTAAAATAGCATGTGGACTTGTGTTTTCTAGAAAATTGGTCCATAGCTATGATAAAGTTCCCAAAACCATCAAAAGATTAAGAACTGCTTCTTTAGGGCTTTGGTAAAAAGCAATTCAAGGGAAATAAGTATGCCCTCTAGAAATCATGAAAGATATTACCTTCTTTTTTTTTTTGGTACTGGGGATCGAACTCAGGGCTTTGCGCTTGCACAGCAGGTGGTGAAACCACTGAGCTAAATCCCCGGCCCCAGATACTACATTCTTATATTTTTTTGTATTTATCTGTAGGTGTGTGGGGGGGTTTTTGACAGTTACAAAGAAAAATATTTGAATGTCATATAATGAACCTCTACTACTCCTGGTTTTAGGTCGCAGGGATACTTGATTCTAGGGCTGGTTTCAGTCTTTACCTAGGTCTTATAGATTCCTTGGCATCAAGGGAGCAGGTTTTTGTGCCTGGTTTTCAAAATGACATTTGATGAAATTTACAGTATTGATACTTTCAAGTCACTCAGAGTGGTGGCATGCACCTGTAGTCCCACCTAACTCAGGAGCCTGAGGTAGAAAGATCAGTTGAGCCCTGGAGTCCAAATCCAGCCTGGACAATATTGGCAACACCCCACCTCAAAAAATTAAGTTTGGAGGGTACTGGGGGCCAGCTCAGTGGCAGAGAATATGCTTAACATGTGCAAGGCCCTGAGTTCAATCCGCAACACCAAGAACAGACAACAACTTTCCAGTCTGTTCTGTAGGGTAGGCACATTCTGAAATGCTAATTTTTCTCAGGACCCCCACCCCATCCAGGCTTTTTGTCACTCTAAGTCTTTGCTACTAGCCACTCTCACTGGTTTTGGTTTCTTCACACTTTCACTTGACTACAGTTTTCCTTTGATCTATGACTTACGGTTTTTTACCTATACCACACCATTCTGTAATCCCACTCTTGAAATCTAATCATATGAAAATAGTGAATTTAAATGGCATTAATTTGAAATGCACTTTATTGTTATTAATCTAAACTATATTGCTTCTTTCCCACGAAAATATATAAAATAAGGCATTCTGCTCCACTTCTTGCATTTTGGTAAAATGTTCTGAAATTTAAATTTTCATTTGGGTCAACATTAACCAAACCATTTTGCTAATATTGTTTGATAATGTTAGAAACGTTTTCCTCTGTTTGTATCTTAAATCCCAGTTTACCAACCAATCTTTTATGGCAGACCAGTAAACTTTGTCAGACACAAGGAATGAGAGGAAGGGGCTTGGAAAGAGGCTGCCAACTGGTACTTGGAAGGAAGTAATGGTCACAGCAGGAGAACTAACTGGAGGAAACTAGCATACTGTAGGGAACAGGGAAAGAGGACGTTATAACCTCTGCAGTAAGTCCTAGTGTCCTTCGAGACATGATAGCACAAGGCGAATTAATACATAGACAGAAAATGAGACTTAGAGAAGAAGCTGAGCTTTGGGCCTGATCTATGCTGCTCTGGGGGGCAAAGACCCCAGACCTGGAGTTTACCACACCTTTATTCAGAACATCAGCAGAAACAAAAGTAGCAAATGACTCAGAGGGTGCTGCGTTGATCCTAGAACAATGGGAAACTATGCAGTTGAAGATTTGGTTCCTCCCAGGACATCTCTAGCTGGTGTGGCCCTGCCCTGGAGCATCACATCAAGGGATCATTGAGGTCTTAGCTGTGACCGGAGGTGAAAATGGAGTTATGTCTCAATATGCTGTAGCTGGCCTGTAGACAGGAAAACTAGGCCCTAATCATGATTTAATTATGAAATGATTTTTCCCAAAAATCATGTAGAATTGCTCCCAACAGCATACTAGTCTTTTGGGGGGGGGGTACCAGGGATTGAACTTGGGGGACCTTGCGCTTACAAGGCAGGTGGCGGAACCCTTGAGCTAAATTCCCAGCCCCAGTATACTAGTCTTTGTATTGCTGGAATCAGTTACATAGTGTTGGTTAATATGAAAATAACTCACTTCTACACTTCAGCTAAACAAACATATAGACTGTTTTTGCTGCTATTCAACCAACTTTATTTCAGATACCAATTTTTTTTTTTCTGATACTGGGGATTGAACTCAGGACCCTGCAGTTGTGAGGCAGGTGGCAGCACCACTGAGCTAAATACCCAACCCTCAGATACCAATTTTAATTTGGGAATCTCATATCTGAAAATAACAAAGGACAGAGTTCCAGCTCAGA